CAAGTCATCTCATCGGTTTTAAACGTCGGTGCTGCTTTATCGCCTCCTCCTTTCACTTTGAATTGTATCCCACTGCAGCAATATATGGAGCCATATAGAGCCCCCTATCTACTTTGGGAGCGTTGGACGGTAACTCGTCTTGCAGAGGGCGACCTTTTGAATTGCAATGTTTCTGTACAGTATTCAATGTCAAGCCGAATCTACGGACTACGGTAAGAGGACGGATTTCATTACTTCTAAGGGTTGTTCAGAGCTCGGTCAAGAGAAAAAGTTGTCATTAAGTGCAGCCGGCACCCTTTGTACCAGGTCCTTTCATGGAAAGAGCGTATAGCTGACATGGCTTCTTCCAGAACGAGGGGTCAGTTAGATGCCTAAAACTACAGCGTTTTTCTGTTATGCCGTTCAGCCTAAGTCCTCGACATATGTTACATTCTCACTTGTTCAGATTCATCAAAGAAAAAATGAAAACTGGACTTCTTCGATTCGTTTGCTCAGACTTGACAGATCACTCCTTGTGAATTATATATAGTCGAGGTGGCTGTTGCCTGTATCCGCTGATAGTTCGTTTTCAGTGGTCGATGACCACTCAAATGTTGACTGAGAAGGGCTGCGCATGTTAAATACCGTTTACGGCGTTGCGTGAGTGACTGTGAACAGAAGAGATGGTGGATCGAGTGATTCAGGGAGGGGTCTTTATCCCTGCACAGCTGGTCCTTCAAGTACTTGACTGGAATGCTGGTTTTAATTCTATTCATCTTGTTGACCACCAAAAGGTACATTAACAGGCGTCGAAGAATTGGGGCGACTGTTCGCATTCCACTTGCGTGTATATCTAAAGAAGAAGACTCTTCGACCACCGGAATTGTGGCTTAATTCGTCTGCAGTAGGAGTTCGAAGGCTCAGACGAATAAAGGGGTACTTCCGGTGATCGACGAGCCTTTTTACAGATATCGAAGAGACAGATCGCACTTAAAGTTATTTCCAGATTTCCCACATTTCCATCAAGACCTATCTCGATGATTCCCTCTTCCTCGCTGTGTTACCGCATGTGAAGACCAGACTAAAAATTTGGGATGAAAAATAACTCCAGTATTCCTTTAGTCTACAAACATCTTGCTCAAGGGTTGTCTCTACTTGTCAATGCGATTACTATTACAGCACTAATGTGCGTTCTTGTCATCGCAGTAAAGGCTCTAAAGTTAGCTCAGGCAAAATCCTTCTTTTAGAGAGGTTATAATGTTTCTTGAACACTACGGACTTATTTTATGGCCGAGAATTCCTCGAAGCCATGCACTCCGACGATTCATGCATAAACTGGCACGTCGAGTTGGTATTTATAAGCACGTCAATGAACGATGGAAAAAAACAGAGGCCGCACGATAGACACTAACTGAGGCCACACCCACTAATCACGTCTCACCCTATTTGACTATTGGTTTTTTCGGCAGTTTTGAAATTTTAGTTGTTCATTGCATTTGCCCTGTTAGTCTGAAGACGAGTTGGGGTGCCAAACTCGAAAATTCACCCATTAAAGTTATTTTTTTATCCCAAAGAACATTTTCTTGTAAGTAAACATTAAGCTCTCTCTGCAGTTA